GAGATCATTTTTGGTCCGACTTCAATTGTGGCAACCATCATGCCTTCCGGCTTGGTCGGCTGCCCTGTAAAACTTGTCATTTCGAATTCCACAGGAGACAGATCATGAATTCCTTTCCCTAGCTTCTTGAGGGTCTTCAATGGCATAACATTAAAGACTGCCCCATTATCCACGAAAACCTTGGTGATTGGTTTCCCACAAATGTGAGCATTAACATACAGAGGTTTCAAATGGGAGTTCGCACCCTCTGGAATAGGAGGAAACACAATCGAAGGTGTTTCCGACTGAGGATCGGAATCTGAGGTCTTTGCCCACTCTGTTTCCTCTAATTCACCATCTGCCAAGAATGCCCATAAAGGTTCGTCCATAGTTTCATCTACCAGACTTGCCCACATCGGTTCATCACTCATCTGGTTAATCTCTGTCATTCGACAAGGGATTCGTGGTCCCAGACGAGATTTAACAGATCTTGAACTTTCCTCTGTAGTTACTACTTCTTCCTTTGTCTTATCCCGAGGTTGAACCGTCAAAGATTCAATACGGAATTCTTCAAGAGATGGATTGATGTTGATCCGTTCACAATGTTGGCATCTAAAACCTTTAATTATTTCGTCTGCCATCCCTTTACCTTTCCCCAGTCCCGACGAATTTCCTTTGGCATAGTCGGAAACGCCTAATCCGTCGTTCGGTTGCTTTCCTGAACAGACCCGACTGGACCGACCTTTTGGAGATTGAGTGACTGCTCCCTGCTCGTTAGTCGTTTGTTCTGTAAAGACTCTAATAGACTGATCTCCTGCCAAGCGGTCGGCTGCTTTTTGTTCGTCGGTTAGTCGTTTTGCTGAAGGAACTCGTTTTCCCATACTTTGTAGCATACCTGCGTTTGGCATTGCGAATCTGTGTACGATTCATACCTGGGAAACGAGGATCTATATCAACTGGTAAAGGCTTTTTATTTCGAGCCCAATTGCTCCCGACCGACCCTGTTTTTCTGGTCGGGTGATCTCGTACCAAAACCTTTTGTTTCACCTCCACATTAAAAGAACCATCTGGGTGGTCCCATTTTTCAGCGACTGGTTTCTCACAAACTTTGAGTCGTTCTTCCGGTCGGCTACTGTTTGGCTGATTTCCTTTCTTTGTTCCGGGGCTTGTCTGAGTTCGTTCCCCTGTTTGTCCACTATTGGCCGACCTTTTCCCTGTTTCCGAACTTGGTTGGATATCAACCATTGCCGTTGTTACTTTCGGAAACGGTTGCTGGTCTACACCTAAAGTGATGTATTTGAGCCGACCTGTCTTGATGGCCTTTTGAATTTCCTTCCTGAAATGAGTACACTGACTTGTAGTGTATGTGAAAGAATTATGCCACTTACAATATGGTCTCCCTTTGATTTCTTCTTTAGTGGCAAGTCTTTGCCCCTTTGGAATACGGATCTGCCCATCAGTCAGCAGGATATCAAAAATTTCATCAGCTTTCGAACTATCAAAGGTCGGTTGCTCCTTTCCTTCAGACCCTGGTACTGGCTTTAATTTAGGGCATACATAAGGTTTTCCAGAAAGGATTTCGGCTGCCATCTCTTCTGACTGATTGAAATCAAAGTCACATGTTTCTGTTCCCATACTCGCCATATGTTGGCCTCTATTACGCCTGTTATGCTGATCTTCCTCTCTGAACAAAGACTCTAGACGTCCTGCCTTGGATGCAAGACTTGCCAAATCCTCTACATCCAGGGCAGTGAGTGCCTTTCTTAAACGAGTATGCATATTCCGGACCACTAAATTGGTCATCTCTTTCTCACTGATTACCGTAGGACATCGCCCCTTCATCAATCGCACCCTTTCTATAAACTGTGAAGCAGTTTCTTCTGGATACTGTCTCAATTCTAGAAGATCAGTTAAAGAAACAACTGGTAAAGGATTGAAGAATCTAGCGTGAAATGCCATCTCCAGTCCTTCCCATGTCTGAATTTGTCCAGGAGGCAGACTTACAAACCACGAAAACGCCGTTCTAGTAAGCGATAAACCAAACAGCTGTAACTTATAAAAAGGGTTATTGCCAACTTCTCCTAATTGTGCTGTGAACCGACCAACATGTTCTATGGTGGAGGATCCGTCCTCCCCTGAGAATGCATGAAAGTCGGGTGGTCGAAAATTCCTTGGGAGAGGGTGTTCATTAATGATCCTTTCTGGGAAAGGTCTCTGATATGCAGGGCGGTTAGCCATCTGAGGAGTTAATCCATACTGATCCCTTAATATATGTGCAATCTCATCAGGATCTACATGAAAGCGTTGATGATCAGGAACATGGAACGGATCCTGCACAGGAATATGAATAGGATCATGTATATATCCTTCAGGCCTGTCCTCCCTTGAATTGTTCGTCTGCGGATTGGTAACCCTTGGTCCCAGTGGAACATTGTTGGGAAAAGTCAAAGGAGATTTTCCCCTATCCATTCGGTTGGGATTTGTGGCACTTGGGAATGTACTATCCACGAATGATGGCCCTGCGAAATTTGCCTGTGGTCTGGACGGTGACACTCCTGGTGGCGTTTGAGTGGGTTGAAGACTAACCCTTGACAGTGCTTGATCTATCATGTTCTGCAACAGATTCTGTTGCTCACGCAACATGTTCGTTTGTTGCTCACGCAACATATTCTGCATAACCAAGGTATGCTGGTTGTTCATTTGTTGAACATAAGACCACCAATCAGTTGGTGGTTGTGGGATTTCCCCGGCATTTGGCACAATGGGTGGTGGAACGGATTCTCCCACCGGTGCCGAAGATGATTGCGGTTGTGAACCTGCCATAACCCTTCCGATGATTCGGCCGGATCTAAGACGTATGAAATTATCGCCGGAATTGGAATGAGCAATTTTGTCTTGCTCCCACTGTGGTCGCCAATTTGTTGATGTAATTTTTTCAACAAAAATAAAGTAAAATTCAAAGATATAGAAAATATCCTTAAACTTGATTAATTAGTGCCTGAGATTAGGAATCTCTAAACACTGTACGGTACAGAAACTAAACTGGAAAATAAAAGACTGAAATTTAAAGTGGTGATCCCCAAATCTGACTTTGCTTTGTTGAAGTTGATTGAAGATGCCTTGCCAAATGATTATCCAAGCCTTTAAATATTCTCTGGGAAACCGTACTGAAAACCGTCACCCGAACGGTTACAACGTCTCCTTTTCAACCGCCTTCCAACCCTTCTCCTACTGACACGCGTCCTCAGCAGACCAAAATTATCCCTATATTTCACTCTTTGAACCGACTACAGACCTTCCGCCCTTTTGGCCCGACTTCACTTGGGCCAACCTCATCAGCCGCCCTCCGTCTTTGACCGAAGACCTCCGCGTCTGTCCGTACCTCTTCCTTGCCCGACCTGCGGACTTCCCATCTTGATGACTTTCCGTCTTGAGGACCTCCCGACCTGAAGACCTTCCGTCCTGAGGTCTTTCCGTCCTGAGGACTTCCCGTCTTGAGGGCCTCCCGACTTGAAGACCTTCCGACCTGAGGTCTTTCCGTCTTGAGGACCTCCCGACCTGAAGACCTTCCGACTTGAGGTCTTTCCGTCTTGAGGACCTTCCGACCTGAAGACCTTCCGACTTGAGGTCTTTCCGTCTTGAGGACCTTCCGACCTGAAGACCTTCCGACTTGAGGTCTTTCTGTCTTGAGGACCTCCCGACCTGAAGACCTTCCGACTTGAGGTCTTTCCGTCTTGAGGACCTTCCGACCTGAAAACCTTCCGACTTGAGGTCTTTCCGTCTTGAGGACCTACCGACCTGAAGACCTTCCGACTTGAGGTCTTTCCGTCTTGAGGAAAACCTATTTTCCTTGATTTCCTCATGGTGTCCTTCAGCCAATTCAATCAACTCTATTGCCAGGCCCATTCTTCTTTTTACCTTGGGCTTTTAACCTAATTCTAAATTCCGTACGTAACAATTAATAATATATGTATTTGCATTATATTAATATATACTTTATGTGTTAATGGTTATATTTCGTCAGTTGGCAACATAATACTAATAAACATTCAATCATCACTTTAACTAACACGGTTAATATATATATATATAGAGAGAGGGGTAGATCCACATTTAAATTCTTCGTAAATTATAATTTAATAATTGTGCTATTGTTTAAAAATGGTAGTGTCTCTCTTGAAATTGCATTATTATCTAAAAATTTTGGATGTTGTTAGAATTTAAAATATCACCTGTATCTAAATAATTAAATTTCAATATAATTAAAATAATTTATTATATTTAAAAATATTATTTCCATTCACTAGTAAACTACTAATTTGATTTTGCATATGAATTAAAATAAATTAATATTTTATAGATATATTATTCATTTTACCCTTAAAAATTACTGTGAAAAAATAACTAAAAATAAAAAATATTTTGATATTTAATTGTGAGTTATTTGTTCTAAAATAAAAAATATTGATGTCAAGCATCTTACCCTTACGGATTGGGAGCCGAAATTTATATTTCAGAACTTAAAAATAATTAATATCTTAAGTATTCAATATAATGAAAAAACTTTCAGCATATGATTTTCTTTTTTTTATTATTATTTTTATAATATAAAAATCTGCAGCTGCTGCAACACTAGACGAATCATGTGTGGCAGGTGACCTATCGGAAGTTTAAACCCATGAGGTAAGGGTCCCAGGTCTAGCACATGATCCTTGTTGGAGTTTTACATTGCATATGTAAAGTTTACTGTGGATGAAACAAGTATAAATTATCAAAAATAATATTATATAATTATATTAAATAAATTAATTTTATTTTTAAATTTATATATTGTTCAGCAATAAATTTTTTTTTCTAAATCCGTCGATCCATACGACAATATGATCAAAGGTATTTTGTTTTCCATTCAAGTTTTATGTGATCCATGGAAGAAAAGCATAATATGCATTAATTATTTAAATAAGTGATCAAATTAAAAACTCCCAAACAATTCATCGTCGTCGTCGTCGTCGTCTTCCCCCTCAGTGCATGAGATCAACAATGGCGAGGCAGTTGCTGGTCATATTACCAAGCTTCACGGCGAATTCGTTCAGCCTCGGGTCTGTCTGAACCTTACCGATCTCGTCCCTGCAATCTCCCAGGTACGTAATCGTCCCGCTCAGCATGCTCCTGATCGTCCCGACGTCATGCTGCGTCGACGCCGCCAGCGACTTCTCGAAGTTCTCCGCCGCTGTCGAGTAGCTCTCCTTGCAGTCCTTCACGATCGACCGCAGCTCCGCTGACATCTCGGGATTTTCGATCAGCTCCTTCGCCATCGCCTTCGCTTGCTTCGCGACTTCGAGTCCCGCCTTCACCGCCGCCTCGAGGATCGTGTCGACAGAGCCGGCGCAAAGGAGGGGATTTTCGGTTGATGCGCAAACTTTTTTCACTTCGGGATTTCCATCGTTGGATTCGATCGCGAGGGATCCCTCAAAAAGGAATTTGGTGTCGTCGCCGTCGTTTGATTTGGGTAGGGTCTTCGGGCTGGGCTTTTTGATCGGGAGGAAATCGGAGAAGGTGAGAGTAGGCGATCCCGATGGGGATTGGGAGGTGGGAAGTCTTACGGCCTCGGTGGAGGCGAGGAGGAAGACGGCGACGGCGGCGACAACGAGCAGCCTTAGATTTTTATTGGACGCCATTGTTGTCGTCGTCGGAATATCGATTTTGGTCTAAGGCTGTTTGTTGTGAAGAATATCGCCGGAGTTTGGGAGGGATGACTTGACGGTGAGAGGTGAGTTGATTTAAATAGATATTGGATTTGCAGATTGCCACAAAAACTTCTTGTAGTTGGGATTGAAGGTAGGATGTCCTAACGAATGTTTCCTTAATTTAGACACGGACAGAGACCCGTTCCTGACATGTTCGAAGGTTCGGGGCCACATCTAAAAAAAGACCCTAACAAATATTTATTTGTTTAAAAGTGCATATGATTTTATTATCGAAAAAATTAAATATAACTCTGTACAAATTTTGAAACAAATTTAATTGAAAAATAATAAAACAATAAACAATGCATTTAAAAAAGATTTTCATGCACCAACTCAGCATTTGCACTTTTTTCTTTTAATTTTTAATTTTTTTTTAAACCCAATATGTACACATTTACGTATGTTACAGAAATGAACCTTCGACTTTAAGCCTATCAAGAAGCAATCCTTTTGCACTTTTTGAGGATGCGCTGAAGTACTGCAATAGGATACAATCACCATTTTATATGACAAAATTGACACATAAAAAACTTACCCAATAGTAAAATTTAAATTTATTAGAAATAAAAATAAATGTTTTATACTTAAACGAATGAAAATAATAAAATGAATTCCTTATTATACAATGCTCACCGGTTCAAACTAAAAAAATTAAAATTTTTTTTCGGTTCGGATTGTTCGGTTAATTAGTTTGGTTCGATCCAAAACTGAATTTATAATTTCAATTTCGATTCGATTATGGTTTTCAATATTTAATTTTGACTAACCGAAAAAATCGAACTTTTGAAAATAATTATATTAATAAATAATATATATATATATATATATTATATTTTGAGTATTTGTATTTGATTGTATATGTAAAATATATATTCATAAATAAAAGTTCGGTTTTAAACCGAACCGAACCGAACTAGTTTGGTTCGATTTATTTGATTTTGAAAAAATATGGTTCGATTTTTATTTCAATTTTTATAAATCGAAAACCGAGTAAAATTGAAAGTTGGTTTGAACCGAACCAACCGACACACACCCCTAGCAAAGGACAATAGAAAGTATTATTTTTTACGGACAATTGAAGTTAAATCCCCAATTTCACAAATTGATTTAAGATCAGTCTCTCTTTCAAATTTATTATACTGCAGCCCCCCCCCCCTTTTTTTTTTCTTTATTTCTTTGTTCCCACTCCCCACCCCAATTCTCTCTCCACCCTTTAAATTGTTTCAGATTTCGCGCGAAAGACGGGCATTTATCGGCGACGAAATCCACAATGCCATCCTGTGGGCCAGTTTTCGGCGCGCTCGAAGACCCATTTCTCTCCTCATATCTTTTGTCATCACCCAGGTTGTTGTCTGTCCCCGGCGAAGATCGAAATCGATGTTTTTGCAAGGTTAGTTACTCTATTTCGATTGGGTAGGTTTTGAGTTAGAAAGAAAGTTGTTATTTTGTCGAAAATGTTGCTAGAGGCCTTTTGGTTATATTAAACAAGTAGGTTTTATTGTAGACATGAAGTAATGATTTTGTGATTTGATAAATTTTTAGTGAATTCTAAATATTAAAGAAAAATATCGAACCATTAAAAATTTGTTGCTATTCATCTTTGTGCGTGATTCACTATGTTATCATATGAAATTGAAATTATCTATTTCAATCATAAGAATTCGTACATATTTATAATGACGTACAAATCATCTAAATAGTGCAAGAATCCTACAAATTTCTTAAATAAGATAACTACCATAAATATTATATATATTTTCTAATATACTTTAATACCCCCTTCAAACTCAAGATATGATCGAACAAACTTGAGTTTGTCAGAAGTGACCGAAAAAGATATAGCCGAGATTTTCCACGAACGAACTTGAATTTTCCATTGACTGAAAGTGGTGTAGCCGTCTATTGGATCAGAGTCGGAATCAGAACTTAACACCGTTAGAGTTGAAAATGGGACTCACTCGTTCACAATGGAACTAGAGTCGGAAACATAACTCGCTCGTTCACAACAGAGCTAGAGTCGGAAACATGACTCACTCACTCTCAATAGAGTTAGAGCCGAAAGCAGGACTCTCAACGACATCAGAATTGAAAGTAGAACTCTGTCAGTGGAGATCGAAATAGTGGAGACGGAGACGGCATGAAAATGACAACATGATCATGGATAGAATCAAATACATCAATAAAATATAAAAATATATACGGGATATAACGGGTCATGGATATACCCGGAGAGAATTTGACTCTGATACCATGTTATAATATAAAACTGAAATTCTCTATTTCAATAATAAGAATTTATACATAACATACAAATTATCTAAGTAATGCAAAAATCCTACAAATTTCTTAAATAAGATAACTACCATAAATTTTATATATATTTTCTAAATATACTTTAAGACACTACATTAGTAAAATTTTATTAGTGAGGTTTATATATATATACATAAACCTGGACTTATAAGATTTTATTAATTTTGTGAAACTTCCCAAAGTGCAAATTGTTTTGCAATTTTGTATTTGATCAAATACAAATGGAGCTGAAGCACACTACTACAAAACTACATAATCAAAATTTAATAATAAATAATTCATTTTATCTATGTTTACTCACTTTCAATTGATCTTGATGTTGTGATAGTCAATAATTGGTTCTAATTAAGAAAATAAACTATTATCATATATTTAAGTTTTGCTTGATTTTATATTTCCACAACAAATATCTGCCATATGCTGTACGTCTACTTTGCGGAACATTGTAGACTTATAGTGCAATAGAATTATAAAGCCAATGGATTGTGTGATGACTTGCTTAATTTAAGCATGTATTGGACTTGAACTGACTATGGATAAGGCCAAAATACTAAATAACATAAATTGAGAGAAAAATTAGTTTCCATCATCTGAACATTAGAAATCTGAACATGCAAGAAGTAGAGTCATTATTTAATTTAGGCTAGCACAAAATCCACCTGTGGTTTCATGAAATTGCACCCAAGCCCGTTCTTGACCTTTATTAGGCCCGAAACAAAAATAGAATATTGGGCCCTTAAATATATTTCTTATATAATAATAATAATATAATATATATATTTTTAATATAAATGTATTAATAAAATATTTTTTTATATATTAAAAGATCAAAATATAAATATAAAATTAATGTGATATATTTAGTATAACATAAAAAATTAAAAAAATATATTTGATTTAATAATTTTTAAAGAATATTTTTATAAACAATCAAAAGTCTTTAAAAGAAAATTTTCAAACAAAAATATTTATTAAAGGTTTGTTTCTTTTGATTGGTTTAGGGAAAAATGTGGTTTGAATTTGATATTAAGATAATGTTTGATGAAATATTTGTGAAAGAAAAACGCATAATCCTAATAGTAAAATTAGAAAGTTTAGATTAAATAAACAAACTCAATGTTTATATAATACACAAATTTTTAAAACTACTACTAAAAAATATAATAAAATATACAAATTTAAACATATAAATATAAAAATAAAAATAATAAGAACACAAAAATATTACTCTATCATATCTTTTTAATTTTACATAATTCACAAAAAAATATAAAATCATACCATTAAATAAACATACTAAAACATACAAATAAATAATTAAAAAATTAATGTAAAATTCATTTATTTAAAAAATAATTATTGTTGAGCACAAAAAAATGATGGATAGGTTTTTAGGGAATGGGCCTGCCAAGATTAGGTTAAAATTTATTCGAAACGTCTAGTGGGCTTTTTGAAAGTCCAAGTATGACTGCAATAACCGGGTCGGATGAGCTTAGGGTCAGATGTTAAGGTCAAACCTAGTCGGGTTAATCCCAAAGGTCGGACGGATGATGAGATTGGACCTGGTCAGGACCAAATAGTTTGGATATTGAAGTCGGACCTAGTCAGGACAAACTCCAAGGGTCGGGTGTAAGAAAGTCGGACGAATGATGAGATTGGACCTGGTCGGGACTAAATAGTTTGGATAGTGAAGTCGGACCTAGTCGGGACAAATTCTAAGGGTCGGGTGTAAGAAGGTCGGACATTGAAGTCGGACCAAGTTCAAAGGTCAGGTAGTAAAAGTAGCTATCCTGCAGGTCGGGTGAAAAAGCAGTTTCTGATAGTGGAGGGTAGTTTCAACTGGCGAACGGTTTTCAAAGGTCGGACGTGGTAGGACGGTTCTCATACGTGTCGATAGAAGAGAACTTTTTGGGGGAGTTAACAGCGGTTATGGTAACCGACCGGATAGCGGTTTGAACCGTATCTTCAAGGGGTTATTTAAGGATTCCGTACTGTACGGAGGGGGGGATCTTCAATCGACATCAAATTCAAGAAAATTGCTTTTGGGGATCACCACTTTATTTTTCAGTCTGTATGTTATCTTTTCCTTATTATGTATTCTACAGTGTTTAGAGATCTCTAATCTCAGACACTCATCTATCAAATTTGAGGATATTTTTATATTTTCGAATTTTACTTTTTATTGTTGAAAAACGCATCAACAAATATGAAATAAATTTTTTTATTTAAATTTTATTTTATACATTCTACAAATAATAATAATAATATATATATTAATATATAGGAGTATATATATATATATATATATTATTGGGCCCTTATGGCCCCTAGAGGGAATGGGCCCTGGGCAAGGTCTCCCATGGCCCTGGCCCAGGGCCGGGCTTGATTGCATCAAAATTTTTTATACTTCTAAAACTGCGTCAAATTTGTCCGTGGTTTCATAAACTTTGCATTTAACCCCCTCAGTGGTCCTTATTTAACGGTATTTGACCTAAATACGCTCAAACTAAGAATAAATTTTAGAATATCAATTTATAAACCCCTAAAATTACAAATATATTTATTTTTTTTTATATTTACCCTAAAAAAATAGTAAATATACTAAAAAATAGTTATTT